TACGCCCTGAAGAGCTCTTGATAGATACAACTAAGCGTCGTGTATAAACGCACATGCAGTATCCAAGGCTATGCGAACACATCTGCTACCAAGGCGATATCTTCCCAAAAGCAGATATCACCAGTAATACGCAGACAGATTAGTACGTCGGTGCCGCCACGGCGTCCTTCGGAACTCACCCCCGGCATGCGGATAATCTCGTCGCAATATCAAATCAAGGACGCTACGTCATACTGGGTGCGCTAAAGAAGCGACTAAGGTCAGGTCACTTCCCCAGAGCTTAGCGAAATAATTGCGAAAATGAGAGCTGGCGATAAGATACAGTGCGACATGATTGAAGTCATTTGTAGGTTCTAGCAAATGCTTGGGCTTACATAGACTGTTCAAAGCGTGCACTGATGTGTGAACGTTGCCAGCGTCTTCAAGTCATGGCCGCCACTGGCAAACAAGGAAATCTCAGAGGGTTCTGTCACAACGTGCTTCTTTGAAGTGGGTGCTTAATGTTGAAGGCTTCGTGCACAGAATCGACCAACATTCCAGGTATCTTTTGAGTTGTTCGAGATGTAAACAATGATTGTGTGTTCAAGGTCGGCCCGGTGCCGACCGACAAGGTGTTAGACATAGTTGCATTAGCGTCAGGCGGGGAAGATACCTCGGCTTCAACACGCCCAAGCTTACCCATCAGCAGCTTAGTACCATCTCTCAAAGCCTTGGGCTGTCCATACCTTTGAATACTTCTCGCGACAGCAGCCGTAAATGTGACCTCACTCGAACAGTTCATAGTGACCGTCTCGTCCGCCGTGCCGTGCCCAACATGTCATCCGTCAACTGTCAAACAACGCCACCTCCCACCTCCCACGTCGTCCTCTCTTATCCAGCCGACTATGTCCTCCTCGTTACAATTAACCGCGAAAGACAGATGAACTCGATACCGTTCGAAGGACACCTTGAAATGGGCCAGGTATTCGATTGGTTCGACCATGAGCCCAACCTCCGCGTTGCCATTGTCACAGGAGCAGGCAAGAAGAGCTTTTGCGCCGGGCAAGATCTCATTCAACTCGGAAAGATAAGGAGCGGGGAGCTGAAAGCAAGCCCTGGTATGATGCGACACCCTGTGAGTGGGTTTGGGGGGCTGAGCAGAAGGATGGGAAAGAAGCCGGTTATCGCTGCTGTCAATGGGTTTGCGCTGGGTGGAGGATTCGAGATTGTTCTGGGCTGGTACGTCGCGCTTCGCTATGAATTTGGGAATGAGACAGGCTGCTAATCAGCGGCTTTACAGCGACATGGTGGTAGCGGCACCTCACGCAACCTTTGGTCTCCCAGAAGCTCTCCGTGGCATCTTCGCCGGCGCAGGAGGCCCACCACGTCTAGTCCGCAACGTAGGCCTACCCATCGCATCCGAGATGGCATTGACAGGCCGATCCATTACCGCGCAACGAGCCAAAGAGCTCAACCTCGTCAATCGCATATCGCCATCCCAAGACACGGTAGTGGAAGAGGCGTTGAAACTGGCAAATGAAATCGCAGCCATTTCACCTGATTCGGCAATTGTCACACGAGCGGCGCTGAAGCAAGCTTGGGAAACTGGGAGCGTGGAGCGGGCTACTCAACTGACGATTGAGCAGTATAACCACGGCTTGAACGCGGGGGATAATGCGCTAGAGGGGCTCAAGGCTTTTGCAGAGAAGCGGAAACCGAACTGGCGACCTTCCAAGCTGTAGACGTGACTGCAGTATGGAGCTTGCTATCTTGAATTTGCAACTCCCGTGCACTCTTCTGGTATAGTTAGTTTTTCTTACCTACCTGTTCATTCTGGTAACTGAACAAGTCCTCATTCTACGTGGGTGAATGTTACCCGTCGTGCATATGTTGGCAAGCTTCGGTGATGCTTTTCCTAGCACACGAAGTCGATCGGCGCGTCTCTGATGTGCTCGGCCAATAGCCTCGCACCAAACTTTACGAGGCTGTTGAACCAAGCCAGATAGAGTTAGCACAGTATGTAGGAAGAGGTTGTCATCGCATGCATCCTACATGCGCCCCATAACCCCACCTTTCCCCGCATGGGAGCGTTCGGGTAGCGCTAGCACGACGTAATGTCAAAGGAAACTCCCGAGGTAGGCGCTATTAAAGCGGATTATAACGGAGTATCTAGTCTGAAAAGATTGTTGACTCGGAGACGTTGACATTCTACTGACTTGAACTGCACGATTCAATGAAGAACTGGAGACCCTGCTTTGACATCATACCCTCTATCTTGCCATGGTGAACCGACGAGCTAGCGATGCAGCGGCTCCCCCAACTCAAACACCCGTTGCAACCGTCGCCAAGCGAAAACGACGTGCTTCCTGCCTAGGAGAACAAGAGCGTCGCGAACGGAAAAGAGCTATTGACCGTGAAGCTCAACGCTCACTGCGAGAAAAGACCAAAACGCACATCGCGGAATTGGAACGAACAATCCAGATACTTCGCGATCAAGATCATAACGGGGCTACGTCGAGTCTGCTCTCCGAGATTGATAATCTACGAGCGGAAAATGAGCAGTTGAGGGATGTCATCGATAGCGTCAAGAGTGTAGTGGGGCTGGACCTTGGGGTGTCGAGCAAGACCGCTGCGGCGATCGTACCACCATACCTCGCTGATGATGGTGACGATGAGGACACTCCTCTCGCTGCGACGAGTGCCGGTACGCATGGATCTCTAGCACTGACCCTTGACTCACTTTGGATGCTAGGGCAGCAATCGCCTAAGCCAAGCATTGTCTCGTCTAGCAGTATGACGAGACCACCTGCATCTCTGCCGGCGCCCATCGACCAGCCCACCACCCATAGTTCTTCTGAAACAATGCGCTCGCTCGATCTTGATGGTATGACAGTAATGCCAGATCTATTTCCGCCGCCTGTGGGGTCGAATCAACCACTTAGCTTGGAGCCCGTTCTCCCGCCTGTACACAAGAGCTCAGCAGAAGAAAAGGGAGGAGGCCAGCACTGGGCCCATGCATCAGCTACAGCAACATGGGCGCCCATGATGGAAGAAGTATGTTAATCATCGTCTTCTTTCCCTGGCTGACTCAGAACTACCTACAGATCTTCGGCCCAAACTGGCGTTGTCCCTCTCCAACAATCCTCCACATTGGCAACCCAGACAACCCCACCCCCCTAGCCTCATCCTCCATTTGCCCTATTTGGAAAAAGAGCAACGAACTCTTTGGCAAAGTCTTTACCTACAATCGTCGTTACTCAGGCAATTCTGACAAGTATTCATCTTCGTGCCACAATCTAGTGCCGGTCGATATCGCAGAAGCAGGACTTCTATACCTTGGCATAAAGCAGGGTTGGAACAGCTTAGCCTCGTTAGAATGGAAGAAAAGTCCTGCGCTTACCATTCTGAAACAGGTCGACGAGTTACTGTTTGTTCATTTGCCCAATGTAGAGAGGCTGGCTGTGGCGTATAAGAGCTTCAAACTGCTCAAGGTACGTCGACGTCAGCTCACCATGCATGAAGCATACAAAGTAGGAAGCTGATCTGCGTGTGATAGTATTATCTGAACGCAAGAAAAGAAGAATTAGACAGAGTACCCGACTGGCTCCGTCCAAGGTAACCTTCTCACCTACCTACCCACCCGCATATATTCCCCCATGCCACGCCAGCCCAGTTCACTCCTTCGTCCGTCCGTCCGTCTGACACCACGATCAGTTTCTCACAGTCATCCACCGCCCACCCCATCGCCCTTGACTTCTTTGCCTGGCCCACCCTCCGCTCCCGCCTCTTGAATAACCATGCCACGATCTTCCAAAATACCGATCTCTCATGCTGTTACTCGCGCTATCTGCGCTTCGACTGGCCTTTTCCCATTGAAGACGCTTTCTTCCTCGATGATAGCAGTGGAACCCATTACCCTAGTCCTCTGTTTGAGCGATACCACGGGGATCTGAAGTATTGGTCGGTAGACGAAAAATTCTTTGACACGTTTCCGGAGATGAGGGGGGATATTGAGGGGGACCGGTGCAGGAGAGGATGACTGTATGTTGAACCAACCAAGGTAATTGCGTTGTCCATTTGATGCTACATTAGAAATTGACCATGATGGCGAAATATGCCATGTTCGCTATCTATGCTGTACCAGTACATTGTCACCCTGTCCGTTCCACTAGTACTGGCCAGCCGCCGCTTGACACGCCTTGAGCTGGTCCAAGTACCAACCACAGATAGTCAGACTACCTTGGTTCTCATCCATACATTTGCGAAAGGTCTGAACATCGTTTGCGCAAGGACCGGACTGCGCCATTTGGGCGGATGCGGTGTCGGCGGGCTGGTGCTGGGCAGAGAACTCGGTGTTCTGGGGCGAAGCTTCGGCGGGGGCAGATGAACCGCCTCCGAACCAGCCTCCGACAGCGTGGCCGATGGAGGAACCTACTGCGACACCGCTGTTGTGAAGGTCAGCCATGTATAAGCATGTTGGTGCATTGGGCCGGTTTCGGATGCAGAGAGTATCCGCGTAGTGGCAAACAGGTGGCGCAAAGGTGGGTGCAGGATCTACTTACGCAGCAGTGCTAGCCATTTGCCCAAACAAGCCGGGTCCCTGCGGCGTGGGAGCTTGCGCCTGTTGCTGAGGAGGCGCATGAGCGCTGGCTGGTGCGTGTGGGGGAGCTGCCGCCGTAGAATGAGGGCGCGAAGAAGCGGGCGCAGGAGCAGTGGTTGCTTGCTTCGCGGCTGGTACCTGCGGGCGACGAGGAGGAGCGGTTCCAGAGCGTTGACGAGGCATGTTGAGCGATTCGGTGGTGATATGTGGTTTGCAGGTAGACTCGGGTGTGGTGGCAGGCAATGGGGATTCAAGGCATCGACATGGCGATTTCAAGCCGTTTTTTAGAGCAGCATTCGGGCTTGGCGCGGGTGGGCACGTCGCCGGCTTCCGCATTGGCTTATTGGCTCGTCGTCCATCAATTTGTACCCTGACAGGAACATCACAACATGGTGTGCCACGTCCGTTTGCCCGATCCATTCTAACAAATATCTTCGACCTCGACGTCACCACCACTCTTTGGCCCGAGGTCAGTTCGCAGCGTCCGATCGAAAAGCTCCTTGAGCATCTCAAAGCAGATCCCCGCCAACGCAGCATCGTACCGGCCCTTGCTAAGTTCGTCGCGAATGAAAGCGTCTATAGCGTATGAGTGTTGTTTCCATAATCGCGCCGATACAGAACTCACGTTGTGCCCAAGCTGGTTCGTAGAATGAAAATGTTACTCCAGCCTCTTGAAGCGTCTGTCTAATCAAATCCCTACCCTCGGCTGGGACATGAGTATCCATCTTACCAAAGATCATGACCAGTTCTCCTTTGATGTCCTTGGTGCGAGCGAGTGAGTCATCCTTTTTGCCCTTACCCAACGTGGAGCTGTGGATATCGGTTGCGAAATAGCACATTGCACTGGAGATGCGGGGATCGAAAGCGCAACGATAGGCTAGATGACCGCCTAGACACATGCCTGCTTACGGTTAGCCTGGATTGATGGGAACGCTGAAGTTGAGTGGGAAAGGGGTATAATGGAGATGGGACTGAATAAGGACAAGATACAAGATGGCGGCAACGTACCGGTAGCGCCAACACGGCCATTACACGTTGGCAGTTCAAGCAGGGTGTCAATGGAAAGCGTGGCATCTTCGTCATATGCTTCGACTGTCTTTGTGATCTTCCATTCGTTCCCAGCGTCCGTACCCGGACCGTCGTACGCCAGAGGCTCGGGACCAGTAAATTCGTGGTATGAGGACGGTGCTGCGACGATATATCCTCGGGACGCTATTTGACGAGCAAAGCGAGCAACGGGCCCAGTGACTTGTCAAAGCTCAATTAGTAGATGAAACAGGTAGCATAGACGGATGATGGGGACACATAGGTGGTCCTTGGAGAGTAAAAAGATGAATGATAAGGTTCAAGTGGTGAACTAGATAGAATAGAAGATTTGGGGTCGTGCAAGCAGGCGGCTACATCTATTCTTACTCCCGAGGTCGTCAAAGCGCACGAATGCACTTGGAAAACTTCAAGACAAATCAAATCAAATCAAACGCACGTACCTTGGTATATTTCGGAGAATACAACGACAGCCGGGAATTTGGCCTTCGGGTAGTTGGCAATAGTAGGGTGGAAGATGAAGACCCCTGGACGGCGAGCATACAAATTAGCCTCCGTGTAACAACCTTCTCGTGACACCCATGGACGGCACACCTGGGCATGCAGTAACATACTCATATCACCACCTGCCTTGGTGGGTACATCTTTGTGTGTCTCTATAACGAGCATTGCGTGTTTCTTGTCTTGTTTGACCTGAGCGTTGTTTGGCTATTGGTAAGGCTGCGGCGTACGTGTTTGTGAAGGTGGTTTTGAGGTGGGGTGGTGGGGTAATGTTATGCGCACGGTCCAGGCGACATTGAAGCACATGCGATGCAGAGACAACCAGCGTCTCTATTATGCCACGAGGGGTTTGAGAAATTAAATGTCAGAACTGTGCTGATGCAAGTGCTGCGAGTGTGATGAAAACATCTGCCATGCCATTTTTTATTATTGGGGTTGGCTTTTGCAGTTCATTCGACCTTCGCCGAGGTGGTTTCTACCTGACATGACCTCGGGATGCTGAGAGTGACAAATTGAAGAGTTGGTTTGCGAATATGAGTACATGGTAGTCTGGGAGAAAGATATCAAGTCCATGTGACGACGTGCATTGCTGGAGGGCCATACCAGGGATCTGATAACATTTTCATGCGAGTTGGAATATCTACAAAAGCTTGTCCCAAACTATGGGTACCCAGTGGGTCAGTTCAGTAGTGTTGGTGGAGGCTGTCTAGGGGACACATGCGAGGTGATGTCAATCCCGAGCTAGACAGCGAAGGAGAAAAGAATAGCGACTTGAGGGACGGAGAGGTACGGGCTTGGTACGCTGCACTGAGAGGTGACGAAACGGTCGAGTGGGATTCATGAGGCCTCACCGCCAATGGCGCCAGTTCGGCGGCAGACTTGCGACGGTCGTGATGTGACTAGAGGAGGATAGCGAAGGGTTGCAGAGCAGACATGGACTAGCTGCACCGACAGTCGAGCATGCGATAGTGCAATCACTGCGACGTGTGCGCGAGGTTCTTGAGAGAAGAGCAGGATGGCCTGCTGCAGCATGTGAGGGCCGGGTGCAGGGATGTGGCACCTGTCATGCGAGAATCTCGTGGCTGGGATGCTTGGGCACCTAGTGTTCGAAGGGTATGAGGCCCAAAAACACCCAATGGTTCTGTGCGTACGTCGATGCCACGAAACGGGCCGGGCGGTGTGCTTGGCCTCCTGCTCGATGTGTGCGCGGACGTCACGCACACCTGGCCGTGTTTTGACTGGCGCTGCCACTGGTAGCTGGCAGGCTGGAAAGCGCTGGATCCCGCATGTCGCACGGCGTTGGAGAAGATTGACGGCAGCCACATCTCGCGACATTCCTCCAGGGTGCGCGGCGCGAGCCAATCACGTGTCTACCAGCTCTTGACTTGACTTTTGATGCCAAACTCGACCCTCGAAGCTTGCACTCCAACAAGGCCGCTCCCGGGCGCTTTCACCGTCGTCTCTTGCTTGCTTCTTCCCGCAGACTCAACGCCCCCCTCGACAGCACCGGGCGTTCCAAGGCGGCAAGCCGTGTTGGGGAAGCCATCCAATTTCCCAGGTGCTCGCTCGACTGCCCGAGCCCCACCCAAGCCCATTGTCGAGCACCGTTGTGCTCGTCCCGAACGCGAAGCAGCGCTGGTTTGGTCGGTTCCTGTTGTTGCACACGCCCGTCCCGCGCCTCCGCTGCCGCAGTCGCCGCGCCAGTCTTTGGCTCGCCGCCAGTACTCGCCGCCTGGCCTGGCCGCGCTGTGTGTGCTGCGGATTTTGAAGCCCTGGGCAGCTCTGTCCTGCGCCGCTGCATATCGTGCTGCCTGTCCGCAGTTCCTTGCTTCTACCTCGCGCTCCGTAGGTCGAGTCCAACCCCCGCCGCCAAGACTTTCTTCGCCAGCATCCCAACCATGACTGACTCTCACTCTACTCTACCCTCCTCTGTGTCCCCAGTGCCTCGCTGACTGGCGCAGTACCTAGGTCGCCGCTACCGCCCCGGAGGCACCTCGTCCCCTCCCTCCACGGCCCTCGCACCGCGCCTTCCCTCCCAGTAAACGTCGTGTTTTGCTACGACAGCCCCGGCGCCCTACATGCAGCCGTCGTTGTCTGCGGCTTTCTCATCATGGATACCGAGGATGGCCACGTCTTCATAAGGGTGCGGTTCTCAATGACTGGCCTTGCTCGGAACATGCGTTGACACGGCTCTAGAATCTGGCTTACTTTGTACGAACCCACGAAAAGGCCCTCGCCAACGCCCTGCAACTGCAGCGGCAGATGCCCAAGAATGGCCAGGCCATTATCTCACCCTCGTCTCCCAACGGCCCCGCTAGTCCGCCCTCATCCTCGTCGTCAAGCGTCTGGGCCGCCGCCCTGTCTTTGCCGTCCCTGACCTTCACCTCACAGTCCATCAAGCCAGCCAAGCTCACATTGACGCCCCACCATCTTTTCTACATCCTTTCTCGATTCGAGGAGCTCGGCATACCTGTTGGTCCCATGAATGTGCGACTGGAGAACATCCATACGGACGCTTCACCCGCAAACTATGTCTCGTTCCTCGGCAGCGCTCAGCGCAGCAAAACAAAGTCTTCCGACCGCGACTCCATACATTCAGTGTCGAGCGTTCGCAGTGTCATGTCAGGCATGTCCTCGCTTTGGTCCACCTTTCGTATTGGATCAAACAGTGAAGCCAAGGCAGAGAAACAGAAAGTTCAACTCCAGGAAGACTTGCGATATCTCTACTCTGCATTTACTAAGATTCCCTGCCTGAGGCTGTCTCCTGACCACAAAGCTCGTCTCATTGCGGGTTATGAAGAATTTCCCTTCGACACCGCCGTCCCTTTGTTCGCTTTCAAGAATGTCACTGCGCTTGAGATTCACGATGTAGACTTTCGGCAATTCTATGGCTGGGACCGCCTGGCCGAAAACCTTCGCAGTCTTACTGTCAAGCGAGCAGGTGTTGACGATCCCGCTGACCTTCTTATCAATGTCGTCTTGGACGACATGGACAAGCGTCGTAGACGGTCGGCAAAGACACACGCTTCTTCCGCGCCTTGGTCTACCGCAAGCCCGTCCGCCAAGGTTGGTCAGTTGGCGCCATCAGAATCTCCACCACTTTCCCCTACCTCCGCCAGTAAACAGAGCACAAGCCCAAGAAGCGCGGTCGTGGCGCCGGAGAATTCGTCCAAGACGGGCCAGCGACAGCGCAGTACCTCTCCCACGCGGCCCCCAAGCTCTCGTCATGGTTCGTCCCATGCCTATGGTCGAAGCACTACAAATGCACCCAACATCCGCCGCTCGTCTGGGAGTTCTAGTTCTAGCGTGCGCTCTACCACCCCAAGAGGCAGCTCTTCTAACCTCCTCTCCATGGGCTGGTTTCCTGCAACCAAGTGGCGCTTCTTGCGACATCTGAGCTTGGCCGACAATGCTCTGACCAACATATCAGTTGCAAGTCTGGCTCCCTTGGCAAACACATTACAGTCTCTTGATATTTCTGCCAATCTGTTTGCTGAGATTCCTGACAGTCTTGCCAGCCTGACCTGTTTGCGCGCACTGAACCTGTCCAATTGCATGATTGACAGCTTGCACTCTTTGGGTCGTAACCCGCTGCCAGCCATCACGACGCTCAACCTTCGTTCCAACCGCTTGACATCGTTGGCTGGTGTTGAGCGACTGCTATCTCTGGAGCGGGTCGATTTCCGTGATAACAGGTTGACTGATCCTACAGAAGTTGCGCGACTGACTGGTGTTCCCGACATAACTGATATCTATGTCAATCGCAATCCGTTTTGCAAGACGCACTCCACCTATAGAGTGACCATTTTCAATCTGTTCCGCAAGACGCCAGGCTATACGGAAGATATTGTCATCGATTCTGTAGGACCTAGCAATGCTGAGAAGAAGCAACTCGTTGACCGAGTTCCTGAACGCCATGGTGTTCCCATCGTTAAGCCGCCACCCGAGGATGACTCGCAACCCCCGCGACACGTACCACCAAAGGTTGTCAAATCTGTCGATACTTCCTCCGACATAACAGGTGTGCTTCAGCGTACCGGTTCCCTGCAACGCACCAAGAGTGGGCGCAGTGCACAAGGTTCCCAAAAGAAGAAGAAGGGCCCTAAAAGGAGAATTGTCGAGCTCTCTCAGACCGACTCGCTGCAGTCGTCATCGCACTCTAGTTTGACAGGGTTGGCATACGAGGATACTGTCGTCGGACAAGCCCCTAAGATCACGAAGACTGCAAGCAACACATTGGCCACGGATACGCCCCGGCTTGTAGAGCCGTCCAAGGGACAAGTTTCTGGAGATCCTACCAAGAAGAGTATTTTAGAGGAGCGTACAGTCGCACACGAACCTCACACAAGCCACCAACAGTTGCCCTCAATCGATACCGCACCCCCGACCAAAACCGCCGATCCGGAATCAACGGAATTCGACGTCAGCGAGGACTTGTACAAGAAGAAGATCGAAGCCCTTCGGCAAGACTTCGGTAACACATGGCTTAGCGCGCTAGGAGACGAGAGCTGGGACAACACATCGGTCAATAGTTTTCCTTCGGATCGTGGGTATAGCTCCCCTACCATGCGGCCAACACTACCTCGTACACCGAGCCAAAGCATCGTTTCTGGTCGTACACTTGGCTGATCTAATTTCCCCCGATCTGTCCACTTGCGATACCCAAAACAATTTGTTCGCTTTGCCAGACTCGCACTGCAGCTTCCGGAAGCGGACGCTTTTGTCTATATAGTTTGTTCATCAATTCATTCACGGGGCTTCGGGCAAGGCGTTGGATAGATGTAAGTCGAATTTGAGCGTCGCAGTTTGTCACGCTCGTGGGACCGATCGAGACCATTTTCCGAGGCTGTTTCGACCTTATCGGCGGCATCTCTTCCTCTCCCTTGTCAACAGGCGGTCGTGTTGCATTTCTGCGTGTTCTCCTCTGGGAGGATAACGGCCATGTTCCTGGTTGAATGGATAGTGTAAGATAACTTCTATGCCGGCGCACTGTAGGTTGGTTGCCCGTTACCTTTGGCGATGAGTGCGTAGCTTCTTGTTCCCTTTGTGTTGCTTGTTAGCGTCGTCTACGTTCTGGTGAGGGAGCCCAAGGAAGAAGGCAGGCGTTGGTTGATCTATTGCATCATGAAGCGCGCATTAGCAGTGAATGCTCGCATGACTACAAATAC